ATATTAAAATCTATCAAGGGGACATTAATGTAGAGTTGAGTTGTTGTATGATCACTGTTGTGCTTTTTATAATGTCCTTGAACATGGCTCATCCAATCAGATTGTATTTCCAGAACATTTTCTGCTTTATGAACATCCAGTATAAGACAAATGTTTATTTTCCTCGTTTGTAGGCGTATATTAAAATCTATCAAGGGGAGGAGCTTCCACATCCTAAATCCATGTTGCAGGTGTGTTACTCTCAATCTTTAATGTCACCTACAGTGTTGTTCAAAAGTTTAAAGAAATCAGAAATGCAGTAAAAACGGTAATATAGTGAAACATTTAAAATGATTTAATTTAAATTGACTGTAACAATAATGTTTTCTATTTGAATATATTTTATTCCAGTGATGCAAAGCCAAATTTTCAGCATCATTACTCCAGTCTTCAGTGTCACATGATCCATCAGAAATCACTCATATGCTGATTTGCTGCTCTAGAAACATTTCTTATTATTAGCAATGTTGTAAACCGTTGTGCAGCTTAATGTTTGTGGAAACTGATAATTTTTTCATGATTCTTTTGAATAGAAAGTTCAAAGAGCAGCATTATTGAAAATAAATTTTTAGTAACATTATACATGTTTTTACTGTCACTTTTGATTATTTTAATGTGTCCATGCTGAGTAAGTGTAAATCGCTTTTAAAAATATATAATAATCTTACTGAACCCAAACGTTTGTATGCTAGTCTATATGAAAGTGTTAAATGCCCACTGCGCCTCTTTTACTCAGGCAACTGCTGAAGCGAACAACCTGACAGCTGTTGCTGGAGCGAAAGACACTTATAACAGAACCATGGAGCAGGTAGAGTTACTTTGAGCTGCTAGTTTTTTCATCTGTTTGACAGAAACATGCATATAGACCAATTGGAAGTGGTGTGAGCAAAATGCATGTTTCTTTATTTTCTAAATGGATCATGAATGGAGAGGGACCTCGGTTCTCTTTAAATATAGCAGGAGCGTGACGTGAGATGAGCTAGCCTATATAACTGAAAATAACTTGAGGCCATTGCACCTAGAATAGTAGGTTTGGCCTAGATAACTCAAAATACAGAGATGCCTGTAATGGTTTAATCGTTTCTTCAATACATGTATCTGGTGATTAGAAAGATTAGGAAAAGGTTTTGAGCTTATATTTTTGTTGTGTGTATGTCACAGGTATGTGGAGGTGACAAACCATACATCGCCCCTGTTGATCTTCAGCGCTATCATGAAGAGTTTAAGAAAACCTCCGTTCAACAGTTCAGCGCAGTGAAGAAAATGGGCGGCGTGGAGTTCAGTCAGCGCTACCAGCAGCAGTTAGAGACCGAGCTGGATGAAGTGTACATGAATTTTGTGAAACACAATGAAAGCAAGAACATTTTCTATGCAGCGAGAACTCCAGCCACCCTGTTTGCCGTCATGTTTGTTACCTATATGGTCTCCACAGTAACAGGTTTCGTTGGCCTATCGGTAATCGCGGCTCTGGCCAATCTGGTGATGGGGGTGTCGCTGCTGTCGTTGTGTGCCTGGGCGTATGTCAGATACTCAGGAGAGTATCGAGAAGTGGGTGTGGCAATAGACCTCATAGCAGAGGCCCTGTGGGAACAGGTGAGTTATGCTTCCTGGATGTTCTTCCACATGTTGGTTGGGTCCATGCTACAATATCCCACCCATCACATTGTTTCAATTGCTTCCTGTCGTCTTTTGTGTTCATCCCATTCTATAATCCATTCACTTCTAGTTCAGCTCTCACCTCACCTCTCGTTCAGATTCATTGACTGATTCATTCAGTGACCATTTCTTCATATTACATAAATATGCCAGCAGGTGGTAATAGTGCCGCGCTGCTCTGGAGCGAGGGCTTTCAGTGAACGAGAAATATGTCAATGGATTACGAGAACGATTCGTTCACCTAAAAGATTCGTTCAAAAAGAATGATTCGTTCACGAACTCAACATCACTAAGTCTTGTCATAACCCCAGTTTCTAAAGGTGAGAGAGTCATTTGACGGCACTTGTCAAGAGGGCAGCGTTGTCCCAGGCCCTGAGACGATGGGGGCCCATCAAGCTCAAATATAGTATAACTTACTCATGGAGCCCAGGCAACAGGGGGCCCAACCAATGAAAATTTTGTCCCAGGACCTATGAACTTTAGAACCAGCACTGATTCTAAAGCCTGGTTTTCTTCCTGTACCCTAATAGGAGTTTTAAGATTTGGCGTGATTTATATTGAGTTCACATTGTTGCATTTGTCTATATTATTCTTAGCGGAGGTGCTTTTCTGGGACTGCATTAGTCTTGGAATTATACTATAGCAGGGGTGTCCAAACTCGGTCCTGGAGGGCCGGTGTCCCGCAGAGTCTAGCTCCAACCCCAATTAAACACACCTGAACCAGCTAATCAAGCTCTTACTAGGCATAGAAACTTCCAGTCAGGTGTGTTGAGGCAAGTTGGAGCTAAACTCTGCAGGACACCGGCCCTCCAGTACCGAGTTTGGATAGCCCTGTACTATAGAGTTTTGTGTTTCTTGATCATTTTTATTTGGTACTTGGTAGATTTTCAGTGGAGGGTCAGAAATCTCTCAGGTTTCATTTAAAAATATTTTTTGTAATTTGAAGATAAAAGTCTTATGGGAAGTAAGTCTTATGGGATTGGATCAACATGAGGCTCATTAAATGTTTTTGGGTGAACTATCCTTTTAAAGGATTTGAAACGCACATCTGACCTAAAGACCAGGATTTTCATCCTCATGGAAAATCTGGAAGTATCAAGGAATTTATTTGTTCCAGACATCAAAAATATATAGAAGTTAATCAAATCTCATGGACATTTTTTATGTATTAAATATACGTTTTTTTTTTTTTAAATAATCAACTGTTATTTTATCAGCTAGACTTGCTCATTGTGAGTGCAATTATTAAAAATCCTTTACAATAATTGCAAATGACTGGAAAAGTCATGGAAGGTTAACAATTTGAGGAGCGGTGTGTTTGATGAGGTTACTTCAAACAACCAGACTTGGATGGATGTTAAAAGAAGTGTATATCTAGGGATTTGACCCCTCTGACCTGTAAACAACCACCCAGAACACCCTAGCAACCACTTGGCAACAGGCTAAAACTGTTCAGACAAGCAGCATTCACGTTTTTGTTGTTGTTTTTCCCTTCCTTGTTGATTCTAGGTGCTGAAGCCACTTACTGAGCAGTACATGGAAGAAAATGTCCGACAGACTGTTGTGAACTCTATAAGAGCCACGCTAACGGATCAGGTGACACAAACTACAAAGTTGAAGACCAACTGACAGTTTGCTGTGCCTTATCTGCCCCGTGTTTGAACAATCACTGCTTTTATGTTGTGTAGTTTTTGTGATGTTTGGTCATGTAGACTCTAACCAAAGTTTACAGCATCATTTACCCTGACCATTATACACACCGACATGCTGACTGACACTATAACAGCAGCAGACATCAGTACAAATGCTTCGGGTTTAATCATCAGGTATACATGCAGCTTTGGGTTTCTCTTGCTTTGAGGGATTATTCAGGGAAGCACTACAAATGTTTTACAATCTGAAAGTTTTCATCCTTTATGTGCTTAACGGTTGAATTACTGCTCAGTGGATGATCCGTAGCATTTTTCATTTTGCCTTCTAGCACACAGTTACTCAGTGTGAAGCATTTTGCTGGATTTCTTGTGAGGTATTTTTAGAGCCTTTAAGGAATGCTGAAGTTGTAAATCCATCCATGACACCCCTCTATCGGGCCTCTTTCTGTACAGTTTTGTTTTAGACTGTATCATAGTTTCATGCATGTAAATGAGTGTACAAATATCAGCTGTAGATCACAAGAGGATTTAATTTACAATATTATGAGAGGAGTATGAATGTGACGCTGTATTTGCTTTTTTGTTGTACTATTGAGCACCTTTCATTGTGCACAGTCTTCTGACACATGGGAGTGCTCATGAGAAGACTTGATTTGTCAAGTCTTTTAAGGTTATGCATGTAATTTATTTTTTAAATGATTAAAATATTTAAAAATTGTGTTTCTGGCTCCTTCAGGATTATTTAAGTGGCTATTGGTTATGATTTAGCATATAAAGAGCAAAAAAGCAAAACTTTACAGTAAGCTTCAATATGTTAACAATGTTAATTTTTGTATCCAAGTTAAAAATTTACATTAATGTGTTAAGAACAACATGTTTAACTATTAACCTAGATTACAGTTTTTAACAACTGTTAGGACCCATGAATTTTTCAAAAATTCGCACAGTGAGTACAACAGCCGTTTATGTGAGCTAAACTTTGGCACAAAATGCATTCAGTGACTACATCTTTCTGTGGAGTTTTTCTCACTCAGAAACAACAACCACCAAAACTCGATGTACCTACAGGCCAATTTGCTATGCGATATTTCTACAGTAATATGATCCTGAAATGTATTACAAATCTAAAAATGAAATGCTATCAAAACAGATTTAGCTGAACACCTACACAGGTGTTAGTCTTTCAATTCATTATCATCTATACAAAAGGGAAAACAGAATAATTTTGTACTGTAATGACACTATGGACCATGTTACATATAATGGTTGATTTGAGACATGTATAAAATGTTTTGGTAGTTTTAGTGCATTTTGTTTGTGAAATTTACTGTTGGCCAAGCTGAAGAGTTTTGAAGCAGTGACCCGTTTCAAAAATATGTCCTAGCAATTGTAAATAATAATAAAGTATTGTCTATTGTTAGTTCATAATGAAGTCAATTCACCCTTATTGTAAAGTGTTAACTTTGGAAAAAAAATTGGTAAATAAAACTGCAAAATTCTAACCAATGTCAAATATTTTTTGCTTTGTTTTGTTTTAAAATCAGATACTTTTTTTTTCTTTTTTACAATTTTATTAAGTTTCCCAATCTTACTAGATACCAAAACTGCTGGACAAGTTTAAGTTGAGCCTCACCCGTGTGATAATAGCTGCTTTTGTTCTGGAGACGCTAACGAACCATTTTTATAACGTCTTTTTCCTAGTGCTTGGCGTTGCCAGCATTGGTCCTGTTACTATGGCGACAGACATTTTAAAACGGTTTGAACAATGGGGATTGAGTTGCACAGTAGGCTTCTGTTGCAGTCGGTTTGGATGCTGGGGAGTAATGCAAGTAAGGTAAGGGCTCATTTCAACATCTATAAAGTGCTTACCAGAAATAAATCTCGAACACCATTGCCTGCATTGTTGCCCAAATGACTTGCCTGAATTTCTTGCAGTACAAGGAATCTGAACTCACATGGACCTGGACATTAAACGGACTAGAAGATCTATGCACAAGTGTAAACTTAATGGCATTCAAGACACGCAGCAGGACAGTGACAAACCAATTCCTGATAAGTTGGGCACCTGTCAGCCAGAAGCCATCAGCAGTGAAATGCAATCGAACGACAAAGAGGTGCTTTTTAGTCGGTGGAAGAAAGGACAAGAAGTCCCTTCTAAATCCCAGCATGCTGCAGCGGATACGCTTGAAAACAGGTTCTTGAAAGTGCGACAGAGTTCACTGCAAAATACAAATGGAAATGTCAATCAAGATTTTAATGAGCAGACAATGGAATCCCTACAAAGAATTCTAGCAGGAGCAGATTTGTTGAAAAAAGAAGAGGCTACGATGAGTATCCCTGGGTCAAAATATGATTTCCAGATGGATCATAACTCTAAAGCCTTACATCTGCCCTTCGGTTACTTTATTAGATCTAATTCAACAAGATCTGTTGAATGTTCCTCAAACCCACCCAAAGTCATTTTGAAGGAAATATCAAAGGGCCGAGAAAAAAGCAGAGCCGACAAGAAGAGCAAACATCTCGACTTCTTTGAGGTTGTAAAGGAGCAACTGCAACAGAAGGACTTGGAGAATCAACATCTTGTCCATTTGTTGTTGGTCAAGCAACAAGAACTGAAGGATATTAAAGAGATGTCAAAGCAAAAGGAGAAGGAAACCCAACTTATTACTGAGAAGCTGAAGTGTGAGGAACAGAAAAACACCGAAATCACCACCAGGTTTGAGCAAACCTCTGAAGATTTGAAGAAGGAACTCGCTGAAGCCAAAATTAACAACAAAACTACTATGAAACAGCTTAAAGCACTGCTGGAGAAATACGAGCGCCTCAAAACACGTGCTAACGCCATGAAGGACCAACTCAACGTGGAACTCAATGAGAAAAAGAGCTGTCAAAAATCATTCAAGAAGCTTCAGCAGATGTTTCAAGAGCTGCTAACCAAGCAGAAACGTCTGGAGGAGCAAAGAGATGCAGCAGGACGAGATCTCGCTTTGTGTAGAGAGACGCTGCGGATGATGGACGCCGAACACAAGAAGAACATCAGCATTAATCGGAGACTCGAGGAGGAGGCATCAGCCATGAAAAGTGAATCTGCAAACCTCAGAGAACATTTATGTAAAGCTCAGGAGAAGAACAAGGAGCACATGCAGGCGGCTCGTTCCAAAGAGTCTGACAATAAGAAGAATGTCAAGGAATTTCAGGACACGATTGAAAAACTGAACGCCGAGTTGGAAAAGTGCCGAACAGAAAGAGACAAAGCACTTCAACAGGTGGAGACCATGAAATATGAATCGAAACTGATTCGCAACAAGCAGAGAGTGGAGATACTTCAGCTGCAGGAGCAGCAGAAAGCCTGTCTGCAGCAGTCCGATGGTTTGAGAAGAGAGTGTGAGACTTTGATGGAGATGGTCAGTAAACTCAAGAAAGACAAGCAAGTCTTGACAGAGAGGCTGGAGAGCATTCATAAAGAAAAGATGGTGTCGGAGACGGCAAGCACAAAGGAGGGAGAACGACTCCAAGAGGCCATTCGTTTGCTGGAGCGAGAGAGAGAGGTGCTGTTAGCGGAGATGGAAGACTTGCGTAAAGATTACCTCGGCCTCAGTGACAGAATCACACAGAAAATGGGCCACATGGATGCAGCTGATCCTCCCATGACCATCACTGACATCACCACAAACCATCAAAGAAACACTCAGAAGCTCTCAGCCACCAATGATGGAATGATTCCTGATGATGGTATGAGCCCCGATTCCTAAAATACATGACTACTAGTTAAATATTTTGCGTTTTTCTATTTTAAAGCCTAATTTATGATGCAAATTATACGATCAAGGAGTAAAGTTAAGATGAAAAATTCATATGAATTTCTGAATATAGTATTTGTTTTGTCCCTAATTACAGCAGAGCTCAAGCTATGTGAACTCTGACCTGGGGCCCGTTCTTGGTACGTCGCTAACTAGCTGGATTTGATTGTTGATGATTTCGCATGATCTTGGATTGTTTGGTTCTTCGAAGCTCATCCCGGAGTTGCTGTCATAGCAACAGGTCCGTAAACGTAAACTTGCTCGGGAGCAGGCTTATTTCATGTAAACAGGATTAGATCGCATCTTTTTAAGCAGAATTTATATTTAAAATCTGTCCGCTACCACCACTACTTTATTACAAGAGTACCCTATCCAGGGACAATATTTTTTTAAATAATAATTTAAAAATTAATTTAAAGATAATATAATAATGTTGTGTAGTCTTTAATACTACAGACACAGCCAGTTTTACTCACTGAAAGATTTATTTGTCATACAATTATTACTTCATAATTGTATTCGAGTCTTACACACATGCTATACGGATAATGTAGAGTCGTGCATTAATTTGAGTGATGACAGATATTATGGGAGTGGCTTGATGGAGCGCAGGAGATGCAGATAACATGATCTTGACCCTTAAGAAACATTAACTTGCGTAATAAGCGACGTACGAAGAACGGGCCCCTGAAATCTGACACTTCCTCAGTGTCAGTCGATGTCAATGCCACAAATTCATTTGATTAGTGAAGAAGAAATAGAGCAGAATCTAAAATTGAACACCACCATTGAACACCAGAAGTTTGAAGACAGTAAGTTAAGACTTTTTTTTTTTTTTGGAGCAGGAGTGCATTAAATGGACCAAAAAGACAGTAAGTTAAGACTTTTTTTTTTGGAGCAGGAGTGCATTAAATGGACCAAAAATGACAAATACATTAATTGTACAACATATTTCTATTTTAAATAAATGCCGTTTTGAACTTTCTCTACAAAAATGTATCAATGTTTCCACATTTAAGCACTATAGAGTAATAGCTGCTGGAAATTCAGCTTTAAAATAACTTAAAATATATTGTGAATTGTATTCATCTTACCAGCCCCAAACTTCTGACCCAAAGCATACACGTTTATTAAGTCACATGAAGGCATTCATTATAACTGGAATGAAAATATAATCTCATGGTTTCTTCCCTGCAGTGATTCAGGACATAAGAAGAAAACTAGAAGAGGAGAACCAGCAAAAGTGAACTGCTGTTGGTTTTCTACCACCACAGCTATTGTAAAAAATATAACATTTCTGCATCAAGTTCTTTGAAATGCAAATTACAGCCGGTTTAGATAAACATCACATGCTGTATACAAAATTTATTATATTTTGAAAACATGACAAAACAAGAATGTTTGTTCTTACAGTATTCTACAAGGTCAAAGTGCTTTGAAGCGGTTTACATGTACGATTACTATTCAGACAGCTACATATGAAACGTACGAAAGTATTTACAAAAAAGCCAAAATGTGGGATTCTGGTTTTTTTTTTGTGCTAATCCCAAAACAAAAGTTGACATGGCATGAAAAAAAAATGACGTTAAATGTTAAAACTCATAACCAAGGATGGACTTATTAAAAGCAGCAGTGGTCAACATAAAAGTCTAAAATAAAAAAAGATCTCAAACTTTCAGCAGAACCGGCAGGCAGCTTTTAGACTAGTTTATGTTGCTTGATCAGTTTAGGCAGTGGTACCAACTTTTGACTTCAAGTGTCAGTGTTCTCAGGACAGACTGATGTCACCATTGTCATCTTTGGTCTCCATAACTTTAAACACCCCGTCCTTCTCCTGTTTGACACGCTTCATGGCTTGATCTGAAAGGGAAGATTTGATTCATATGAAAGGGGCATTAAAATGTCAAAGCATCACTATAAAAATCACTAAGCAGTGGAATCTACACACATTACAAAGACATTCAGATCTGAGATGTGAAGGGCACTTACTCATTAAATCACTACGGTCCAGCAGGATCTCCAGATCTTTGTCACTGATGACCTTTCCTTTAGTGCCTTTCACTGCCCTGCAAAAGCACGAATCACATCAGAACATTCATTGTGATGCAACTTACAACACAGAATTTGGTAATACTTTGTGATGGATTAAAACTCGTGACAGTCAGATATACAGTATGTATGTCTGTACCTGTCATAATCTCTGGACTTCAGCAGTTCCACAAGCTCATTTAAATCCACACAGCTCTTCGTCTGTTTGAGTTCTGCTTTTGAACCTTTAAACTTATCTAACAAGACGGATATGGGGGGGGTCAGTAGTGTCACAGCAAAAAAAGTAGATATTAAAAATATAATAATAATAAATTGATTCATTTCATCAAATCCAAAGGTTGATAATGCCTCATTTTCTGCAATAGCTACGTACTTTTGTGAATGACCATCTTCTCTAGTTTTCTCTTGGCAGAGGCTCTCTCCAGGATCTTCTCATCAATGGTGTTGGCCGTAATGAGGCGATAAACCATCACAGGCTTTGTTTGCCCAATACGGTGACACCGATCCTGTGCCTGCAAATCTGCCTGGGGATTCTAAAGATGAAATTCATAAAATGTATGCTGACAATGAGGCTTTTCATTCAAATCAAAAATAAAGGGTTAGTTCACCCAAAAATGAAAATTCTGTCATTAATGACTCACCCTCATGTCGTTTCAAACCCGTAAGACCTTCGTTCATCTTCGGAACACAAATGAAGATATTTTTGATGGAATCTGAGAGCTGTGACCCTCCCATAGACAGCAATACAACTGTAATGTTCCCAAGTCCAGAAACGTAGCAAGGAGATCTGTAAAATAATCCATGTGACATCAGGGGTTCAACCGTAATTATACGAAGCTACGAGAATACTTTGTGCGGAAAAAAAACAATGACTTTATTCAACAATTCGTCTCCTCCGCATCACCCTGTAGCGTCATTTTGGAGAATATCCGCTGGACGTAAACAATGTATGCTGTTCTGTGTCAGCTGCGTCACGCAGATATGCTGTTTTCGTTCAGATCAAATCACAAGGTAGGAAACAGATCCGGCGTGACGCAGCTGACACAGAACAGCATACGTTGTTTACATCCAGCTGATATTCTCCAAAATAGCGCTAGAGTCAGGCGGAGGAGACGAATTGTTGAATAAAGTAGTTTTTTTTTTCTTTTGCGCACAAAAAGTATTCTCGTAGCTTCGTATAATTACGGTTGAACCCCTGATGTCACATGGATTATTTTACAGATCTCCTTGCTACGTTTCTGGACTTAGGAACCTTTCAGTTATATTGCTGTCTATGCAGGGTCAAAAATATCTTCATTTGTGATCCGAAGATGAACAAAGGTCTTACGGGTTTGGAACGACATGAGGGTGAGTAATTAATGACAATTTTCATTTTTGGGTGAACTATCCCTTTAATGAAAGAACAGAGGCTTTATCCAACTATTTATTTTGCTTTTAAAGCCAACCAATTTAGAGTGGCCACAAATTAAGAATTTTTCCCTCATTTCAATTAAAACAAAATGAGGGAACAAATTATTACAAAATGGCCATGGTTTAACTAAAATGATGGAACAAATTCTTAATTTCATGGCCACAATGAATATTTTTCATCTGCATGTCATGTGCAGGGCTCCATACAAGTCACATATGAACAGGTTGCACATCTAAAATCATACCCAGTCACTGTCAAATATGATGACTGTGTCAGCAGCTGTGAGGTTGATCCCAAGACCACCAGCCCGAGTGCTTAGGAGGAAGAGGAACACCTCCGGATCAGAAGAAAACGTCTTCATCTGCATGAGAGAAAAATTATAAAAAGCAATTGTCAAATGAGAACAACTCCCACAATATGTAATGTGATTGCAATTTGTATTAACCAACAAACTCAGTAGCCCCTCACTGCAGAACAAAGATCCAGGGGGCGGGGTTGGATCTACATCTAGGGGGTGGAGATTGTAGATTTAGGGGTGGAGATGGGTGGGTTTAGGGATCAGGGGGTGGAGACAGGTAGGTTTAGGTATATGTAAGGTGGGAGGAGTTGGATCTGATCCAGCCACGCCCCCTTGATCTTGTGTTCTGCAGTGAGGACCATCTCAACAAACTGCTGCTCACATTCTCATCTCGGTCTGCATAGCTCATTGACCCATCCAGACGGCTGTAGTCATAACCGCGGAGATAACAATAATCCATTAGAATATCTAATATGGAGGTCATCTGGCTGAAAATCAGCACCTGTTTAAAAAAAGAAAATGTGGATGTAATTGTGTTTGATATGGCTACCACCAAAACATACATTCATGTATCCTTTTATACAGAAAGATGCATTAAAGTGACAGAATCCTGACAAAAGTATCAATTTTTCCACAAAATATTAAACAGCTGTTTTTGATTGTTATAATAATAATAATAATAATAAATGTTTCTTGAGCAGCAAATCAGCATATTAGAATGATTTCTGAAGGATCATGTGACACTGAAGACTGGAGTAATGATGCTGAAAATACAGCTTTGCCATAACAGGAATAAATTACATTTCAAAATATTAAAGGAATTTTAGTATTTCACAATATTACTGTTTTCCTGTGTTTTTGATCAAACAAATGCAGCCTTGGTGAGCATAAGAGACTTCTGCCAAAAATATTAAATATCTTTCAGCCCTAAACTTAAACGTACATCATTTTTATTTAGATGGTTAAATGCGTGCAAAATTTTCTTATAACCACAGTGGAGTTTGACACTCCGATAGAGATGTTAATCATTAAATTGTATGCATGAGAGATTGTGAACTTTACCTTGTGCCCTCTTTTTTTCAGTTCAGGAAGCATTCGGTCCAGGATAAGAAACTTCCCTGATGCTTCCACTAACTGCTCATCAATCTGTACCAGTGAGATGATTATTGCACTCGTTCTGTTGCCAATACCTTCATATCAGATGAGATCATTCCAACTCATGCAAAGTTATGTGTAAAGTACCTTAAATTCTCCAGTGGCAGGGTCCAGAGGATACTCTATCAAGTAAGCATGGTTGCAGCACCTCTTCAGCAGCATCAGTATGTTTTGCAGTTTTAAGTTGACTTGAGCATCAACTGGCATAGACACATCCACCACTGGGCTGGAGCTAAGGAGACCGTAACAATATAATGTCAGAAAGCTCACAGAGTTTAAAGCAGAGGTAAAATTGGTAAATACAAAAAGAGAGACAAACCTTGCCTGACTGTCCATTTCTTTCTGGACCTTCTCTAGGTATTTCTCAAGATCTTTCACAGAGTCAGTGTTTGACTCATAATAGTCCACCACCTTCCTGGTCCTGCGCTTTGGTCGGCCACTGGATGTTAGTGGCACAGGTTCGAAATCAACCTTAAGGAAGTGTCATAACAGATGTTATTAATAATGAAAAAAATAAATACATACTTCAACCACACTCCTCCTGCTAAAACTTTCATTTATTATCTGTTCACACCAAGACAAATATTCAGTGTGATAAACATTTTGATTTGAATGAACAATGAATCTGATCTTTAATGCTAATGCATCTTGTATTTGATGCCGTTTGATAAACACCAGAGCAGATACAAAAATCGAACGGTTGTAAATACTAAATACTGTAGAACTTTCTTCTCCATGACAAGCAGGTGTCAGAAAAGAAAAGTTGCACAGAGCTTTGTGTCCCAGAATAGCTGCAGTGTTTCTTTTTCTAACATTTGTGTTTGTGCAAACAGGCCACTAAATACAACTCACCTTCTCCTGACCCAGCAGCTTTGCTATAGTCTTGTTAACAATGGCCATGTAAAAGGCCTCCTGTTTGTTGGTTAGGGGGGCGTACACTACAATCTCTTTCTTAGGGGGAACCTCCAGTGTGACGTCTGACTTTAGTCTTCTCAGAAGGAAGGGTGTGAGGATCTGAAAACATTAAAATGACATTAAAACCAAAAGCAAAGAACAGAACAATTGTAAATGCTTTTAATGCTCAGCCTATATCTAACTTAAGACCATTTAAAATGTACATTTTGGACAATGTCCACAAAACATTGTGGTGAAGATACCTGATGAAGCATGTGAAGGATATTCTGCTCGCGCTCATTAGCCACAATGTTTTCTGCATCTGAAGTGATGGTGCTAATGTCAAACCATGATTCAAAACTGAGGGGAGAAAAGGAAAAAACAACAACATAACTTTTGATTTTGAGTCAAGAGAATCCTCTATTCTTTATACTGAGGAGATCAGTATCATGAATTCCCTTTGCAATTGATTTCTTACCTCTTCAGGTCATCAAACACATCTGGAAGGAGGAAGTTGAGGAGAGACCACAGCTCTGACAGGTTATTCTGCAGGGGGGTTCCTGTCAGCAGTAGTTTGTTGTCAGTCATCAGCATCTTTAGTTCTTGCACCAGCCGACAGTTCAGGTTTTTAATCCTGTGGCCCTCATCCACAATCATATAGTTCCAGTGGAAACGCTGTGGAGACAAACATGAGAACACTCCATTCATGCACTTCAAAACTGCTTTGTGCTTATCAGGATTCAAATTTGATGTTATAAATTCACCACTTTTGC